GTGGGAGTGTGTGGTTGTCTGTGGGAGTGTGTGGTTGTGTGTGGGAGTGTGTGGTTGTCTGTGGGAGTATGTGGTTGTCTGTGGGAGTGTGTGGTTGTCTGTGGGAGTGTGTGGTTGTCTGTGTGTGTGGTGTCTGTGGAGTGTGTGGTTGTCTGTGGAAGTGTGTGGTTGTGTGTGGGAGTGTGTGGTTGTCTGTGGGAGTATGTGGTTGTCTGTGGGAGTGTGTGGTTGTCTGTGGGAGTGTATGGTTGTCTGGGAGTGTGCCTAACCTAACCTCCCAACATATAGTACCTCCATACTTTATTTTCTGGCACCTTCCCCAGCCACTGAGCGTCTCCCAACTTGGTGATTTCCTCTCCCCTTCTGGTGTAGTCTAAGCTAATAGTTCTCTCCCATTTTTCTATATTGTTTTAAAGTATTATAGGACCTCTTGATCCTTTTCTGTCTTCGATCTACATACTTTGCAACTAAAAGTCAAACACATTACTACTGTTTATGTTTTTGTGCCACTGATGTAAGGGAGACTACGGTAACAATTTCCCCGCCACACAAACAAAAGTTTCACATGACGGACCGCAACTCTCTCCCTTCTTCCCTGTGGACACCCGGCGGAGACAAACAATCATCGTCTCCTTTCAGCATCCTTGTCAATGTATCAATAAAATTTCCATAGATATGTAGACCATCTCCATAAGTGTTGTCACTGAGGGATGGGCGCGGGTATAATGCCTGTCGACGTCGTTTTTGGTGATGTTACGTAAGTGTGTCGGGTCAGCGTCCTCACCATGTCGAGTTAGGTTTATGTGATTGCTTATTAGAATTATTGAATGGTTGCTGAAATGTATCATGTTTTATCGTGTGTTGTGTGGGTTATATACCGTTAAAGAAAGAAGGATGTTTAACGGATGATATGACACTAATAATCTTCTAAACATTTGGTTATCGGTAATTTTCGACCAGCTCCACCATTTGATCCATCAATGGGAGTCAACTTAACCTTATTTATTATTTAAGAAATAAAACATATAACCACTTGTCTCTACTTTATTAAGACACGAGACATGTATTTGTTATGGGGTTTATTGTCCAGTGTTAGTACTGGAGAAAACCGGTGTACTCGAAGGAAACCTGTGATGTTTAGTAGTGTTACCCTTCTTATATGTGTGTCTTGGGCCAGGACTCGAACCCAAGAGAGAGTTGTGAGCGATAGGCGTGTTACCGCTGTGCCACCAAGACTTAGTTAATGCCAGGGGTGGCCGATTCTCGCTAAGACACAGAGATTAACACTTAGGTAAAGTCATTGTCCCGTCTCTGATACCACCACCACCACCACCACCACGATTTCATCTAGTCACTCACTCAATACTGACAATTTAGAGGGTCAGCCCAATACCCAATCACGAATGTCTTCTCAAAGTCCCAGGCAAAATTGTTGTCTTCTGAGTGGTCACACATTATAGTGGGCGGAGTTAGTGTCATAGGCCCATACATCCTGACACTCAAGCCCCCACAGTTTGGGGTTTGTGCCAGTAAGGGCTACATTCCGTTAACACTGGAGTCGTTTGGGTGTAATGCATTACTTATCAGCCAGCTTCACTTGTACTGTATAACACTTGTGCACACACATGATCACTGGATCTCGTGGGCGTGTGAGTGGGTGACCCATCTATCATAGTGTGTGACAACTGATTTTACACATTTTGCACATACATGTTTGATTACCTAACTCCTTAGGGTTATTGTCTCCATCCTCTCTTAGAAATTTAAAAAAAGGGACAGTAACTACCGTATAGTTGTCACAGTGATAATGATATTGGAAGGGAACCTAACTTGGGCATGACAGCCAGCAATAGAAGCTGTATCCCTTCACGCCATCACTGTCTTGTCGACAAAGTTAACATTTGTGATAGTCAATTTTTAGGATGTTGACTGAAATGATAATATGTTTCAGTTATCGTGTGTGTGTGTGTGTGTGTGTGTGTGTGTGTGTGTGTGTGTGTGTGTGTGTGTGTGTGTGTGTTTTACTGCAATATAGACATTTAACAGCATTTCAGATTCTTTTGAAAGACAATCGAATTTAACTTTTATGGAGTTGACTACTCTGTATTGGAGATAGAATTCTAAGGAGCGTGGGTCTCTACAGTACATCAACGACTAAACGAACATAAGTCGATTGGTAAATTTCCTCTAGTGCGGTGTTTCTATTAGCGAGATTATTATATCAGTGCCACAAGAAATTTAGGAATAAAATGCATAGTAATCCCCGCGTGGTGACAGTATCGTAAGAAATAAGGATACAGTATAATTTTCATGTGTTGACAGTAGCAGAGGTAATCGGGTTATCCATTGCATATTTTGTGGATGTAACGGTGGCACAATCAGAAATTAATGCATAGAAAGAAGGGGAGGGAAAGTTGTGTCTATGGGAGTATATTGAGAAAGAGAAGATTGCTGACCTTTGGGTACACTGTCTTTAAGCATACGACGTTTTGCGTTATAATTACCACTGCGTCATAAACTTTGTCAGCACATCAGTACACATCGACGGCCTATCACTCAACTACGACAGATGAAGACAAAATACAACGATAGATCTTCAAAATACACAGTAGGTATGATTCTGAGTGCCTTATGGTATTCCAAACTATAAAGCTTTCAAATAGTCTTTTAGCCTTACGACATTGTTATTACTGGCATTGTTATTAATATTTCCCTTGTTGACTTTTTTTTAACGAATTGTCGGTAAAAAGAGTCATTGTCTGAGTAGTATGAAGCAGGTCTCAATATTGTTACATTGATCTACCTTTTTATGCCATTATTCCGAATGTTGTTTCATTGTTTCGAGTCTGGTATTTGAAGCACCCAAAAAAAAAATAATAATAATAACTATGTACAGTAGTCTACTATATATAGAATCAGATGAAAAGGGGTAAACTCTCTCTCAGCTTATATTGAACTGACTCGTGGCTTTTACAACAATGTATTGCTGTAATGATAATTAATAGGTGATTACGTACACAGACCAAAAATACATAAACATCACCCATTCTTTACCCCACATACTAGAGTTCTGTCTCTCAGAATATGTAATTGTTGATGGACTCTATAATTACTAACCTTATTATACGCTTTAAGACCTTAGTTGTTGAAAACCAATAATGTATAAGAACATCAACGACACACTTACCATACAAAACACACACACATTCTCCCACCCCAACACACAAACAATCCCATCCCCCTTCCCCAACACACACAGGCCCCTAGACCATCAGGTTATCAGGAACACAACTTAGTCAACCTCCCGATATGTCAATGAGAAACTCACTGTACAACACTCGAGAACACTTCACTCAGAACGACTTCCAGAACGTAAAGTTGGAAACAAAATAACGTTATTTGTGTCAGGAGAGAGAGATCTTATTTCCAGACCTTTGTGTGTGCGTGTGAGAGAGAGGGGGGGTGGTTGATAAAAGATGTGCAGAGAGAGGTTTAGACGTACATTAATCAGGGGAGGAAGTTGGTATCTGATGATTAGACTATGTTCCTTTATTTGGAAGATAAGGGTGAACTTGAGATATCCGAAAGAAATGGAAATGTAATAATAATAATAATGTTCGGTTAATTGTCAGAGTAATATTAATGATATTAAAAATTCATTGTGATAATAATAATACTAATACTAATAATAATAATAATAATAATAATAATAATAATAATAATAATAATAATAATAATAATAATAATAGTATACCTAAGCCCATTAAAAAATCTACTACATCTCTTAACCGCAATGAACTAAAAAAAAAAGTGGGTAAATTTTAACTCGGTTTTTAGTTGACTGTTGCCAGATACTTTTGTCCAATTTCGTCTGAATTGGTTCGAATATGTTGGAACTGCAGATCAAAATATATGTATTTGTTACCTTAAATCACTGACCTCCTTCAAACTTAAATTGTGTCCCAAACAACGAATATATATACAAGTAAAGATAATCTAATGAATAAATACAGGAAGGGACTGACGTGATTGTTTCAAAGTTCTCGTCGACACACTTTTGAAGCTAATCACATAAGAAATAAAGAAATCTCACTTTATTGTTTTGTGGAGCGGAAGACAGGCAACAGAGCAATGATGAAGAGTTGATATTGGAAGTCACAACATGGAACTTCCTACCACATGACCCACACAACCTCCTCCTCAGCGTTACTGAAGCCCCGGTGTCTCTCTCTCACACACACACACACACACACACACAGTCTCCCTCCTAACGCCAGATCTTATGATTTCTTTGTGATTTCACATAACTAATGACGGAGGCTTAACCCAGGTTGCTAGGTCATATGATTCTTTCAATGTCAACATTATTTTTAAAACAATATACCAGGAAATATGTTGTTTTTTTCACCAGGACTCTACAACACGTCCTCCCAGGCGCCACCTTCACACCTTCCAAACATTTCCTCACATTTTACATTCAACTTAGCACGTCATCTAAGAGGATACAACCCCTTACCCGCGAACCGTTACCATGACAAAAGCAAATTTCTTAGTCGTGGCTGTTACTACAAATCAATGTAGTCTGCTGGACAGTCTCATGTCATAATTTTCATTAACCGCCGAAAAATTGAATTACCATGGCAACAGTCGGTCAATCCCTGTTCGATTTGCACCAAAAGTTTATAATGTGAACCTTGTAGTATGTTGGTCAGACCTACCAAGTTTGGTGGAGACCCACAAACTAGTTATCGATTTATATTGTGTGCACACACATACACAGGACATAAAACATTGCCCTGCCTCGCAGTTGCCGGAGTATAAAAATCACCCAAACTCAAAATCGTTCTTCACTTCACTCTACTGAGTGTCTGTCACACACCTTGAGAAATTGTTCTGTTAAATTAGAACAAGTATCATAGTTTTCGATTCAAACACAAGAATAAAACACTGATAACTCCTCTTCGTCTGTCATTTGAAGTGAAAGGCGTGAAAAAACTTACCTCCGTCCTTAAGCTGAACATGAACAGAAAACAGACCCTATTTCTTTCTATGGCCGAGGTAGCTTGGTGCAAGACTCTTGGTGTCACTGGAGTAATATTCCTTCGTGTTGTTCACGGCGTTCAGTAACTGTATAGTGCAGGAGGCGAAGGTGTGGCATAGAGGCGTGTATGACGTTAGGTGAAGGGGAAAAGTAAACGGAAGTAATGAGTGGCGTGTATTAGACGTGCGACATGCAGGGCGTGTAGGGGTAGTGTAAGACGTCAGGAGGGAAGGTGTAAGGCGTGTGGTCACCGTAATAAAGCTAAAACTTATGTGTGCGTCTCACTGGTCAAGACTGAATCAGCTCCAGCACCACCAGCAGCGCCAACTGCACTAGTTAGACCAGCAGAAGAGGCACCGGCTGGTACGTGACACAGAACAAACACCCAGGCCTCGTGACCCCACCTTAAGTATCCCTGCCGCTTCAGGTGTCACGTACTGGGTGCTCCATTGTGTTCTCAAGAAGTAAATGGCTATGTTCTGACTTTTTTATCTTCAACTGATTAACTTTACATGATATTACATATATAAAAAAATAAAAAAAAATAAAAATAAATAAATATATATATATATATATATATATATATATATATATATATATATATATATATATATATATATATATATATATATATATATATATATATATACAGCACTCTAGCCTTGGCCCGACACGATAACCACCAAGGTAACATGTAATTAAGACAGTTAAGCACCGTTGGGTCTGGTCTCTCAACATGACTGGTGACCACACCATCAAAGAAAACTGTTCTAGTCTGGTTTAGGTTCCCTTCGTTTCATTGCTCTATGACCTTAGTGCTTCTAACAATGAGGAGGTTATATCCAGCAAAAAAAAAAGAAAGATACTGACTGAAAATTTGCACACACACGCACACACACACGCACACATACGCACTGTAAGAGCGACTTAACATGTTGTGTTAGATCATGCAGTGGGAAGGCTGTGAGGCCTTTGATGTAAGATTAAAGTGGCGCATCAGTGAGAGGGACACTCGTGACACATAGGCGTGAAAGCATCATTAATCACAGGTTACGACCCTGACCATCTGACACTCTGGTACCTGAAGGGGAAGTATGAGAGAGATAGGAAGGTACGAAGTGCTAACCTAAAGTCAGTCGAAAAATAAAGGGAACAAAGTCATTACCTGAAGATTAGACACCCTAACTTATTTTACCTGACGATTAAACACCCAAACGCTACCTGGGGAGGTTAGGTGAGGTTATATTAGTTTCGGCTTGCGTTAGGGTGTTTGGTCACCAGGTGAAGTAAGCTGGGGGGTGTAATCTTCCTGTGATCCAAATAAGTTTATATAACAAACGGAGGATAAAATGCAGTTTTGTTACGAAAAAGACTTCAGTTGATGTCACATTTTCCCAGACAAGAAACTGCTGATATGCCAGCAAACTTAACTTTAATAGAACCTGGAGACCTTTCGCCTTACTTTGATCTTGACCATCATGCCATTACATGTTCGACAAGACAAACCTCAAGTAAACATGACCTCACAATGACACATTGGTTGTTGAGCGCTGACCTGAGGGTGTCAACAACGAAGAAATGGGGTAAGAGAATTAGCATTTATTATTTATTCTTGATTGTTAGATGTTCGTTTAATATAGACAGAAAGACCAGGAAATTACATTTCCTGAGACAAAAACTTGTATAACAGTCTAAGACAGCTGCTGTAATTAAAATGCTTTTATATACACCACAATTAAATATTAACTCTTCAATCGTCAAAACATACAAGAAACAGTTTACTATAAAACTACCTGCTTGGTGTAATAATAGCCTTACATCTTGGCTGTTCATCAGGGTAATTAAATAATATATTGCGACTTAAATTACTGTTAATGTTAAGAATAGCTCAATACAATAAAGAGTTTAATTGTATCAATAGGGGAAACACAAGTGAAAATTGAAGTACATTTTATTGTTCTATATCTTTAAAAAAATGAAAAAGAGTTGATTAACGGAATCATAATTGTGACACTTGAGGAAGGTAAAATAAAACCAACAGGAAAAAATGGAAACAGGAAATTGAACTCACTTCTGCAAGAAGAGAAAATGAGGGCAGTAGGTGACCTGGAGCGTCGTATTGACACGAGTGACTGGTTAAAGTTGGAAGTAAACACCAGGTTAACAACACTGAGACACTTATAGGTCGGCAACGCAAGACGTTCAAATACTGCATTATTAACTTGTACCTTTAGCGGGGTAAGGGGGGCAGAGCGGCCCTACAGCAGCCCTGACTGGCAGCATGCCCGCCCCACCCACAGCTACCACACACGTCCTAGATGACAAGAAAAGTGTACTGTATCTATCGCCCAGTTGTATTTATATTTTAGGAAACATGAGAAATTAGCACACACGCACGCACACACACACACACACATATATATATATATATATATATATATATATATATATATATATATATATATATATATATATATATATATATATATATATATATATATATATATATATATATATTGGTTGTATAATTGATTCTCTAGTGTGTTTGAAATGAATTTCCTCGATTGAAGAAACTAAATACCCATTAACTATAGTCAGAAATTTTATCAAGGTCAATTTTATACTCGAATAAAAAGGTTCCGTTACGGAAACAAAACAAAACAATCGAGTTACAATTCCACATGGCCTGAGGATATGTCTTGAACATGAATGAAAAGTGAGAATGACCTTAGGTAAGTGGCGGTGAGCTAGTGAGGTGAAGCCAACACCGCCCCAGGCAACACTCCTGGACACTATCCTGCCCCGCTATCACCCCCGACAGCTTATAGCGATTACACCACCTGACGGTCCTCTCACTTACCTGACGTAGAACACTGACATTCTTCACTACCTCCTCACCCGGGAAGTCCCTGTTTCTTATGAAAAAAATCCTTCCATACACAAACTGATGATCTTTTTTACAAGGAACAGCATAGGCCTAAATAAGTAACTCTCACGGGTTTACAAAGGGCAGTACAGTGATGATACAAGGTATTGTATTATTCAGTACAATAAATAAAATGGAGTTACAGGGTAAAAGTAGGCTATAATTTATGTAGTATTAGTTCGTCGTGTTCCTTGCCCTTCCGACAAGGTATGTGTTCTCAAAGTTCTCAAATAAATTAGTTTTGTTATATTTTGATTATGTAAGGGATCTAAGTCTAGGAATAGTTGAGTGAATCTTCACTTCGTTGTCATATTATAGACTTTTAAATGGTGGGCATTATTCTTCAGCTTTACTATTTTCTTTAATAGTTTTTAATGTGAAATGTATATGCCAAAGCTAATGAATCTGTACATTCTCTTTATTTTAAATCTACATGTGATCACTGTTACGAGATCTTCTGTACATAAAGCATACCTTTGAAGGAACTTGATCATATACAGAGTAATAACAGAGTACTGATTTAGATGTGACTGGAAGCGTAACGTCCCGACAACTGAACTTTATAAATTATCACAGGAATCTTAACTAGATTATTGTTGGAATATTACTCTTTTGTTTGTACATAATATAATACTGTAAACAACACATTCATGAAAATATTCACTGTACTCCGAGTAAGATAGAGGCACAGCGATAATAAAATAGAATACTTTCTCTGGTTCTAATATTTATCGAGCTTCCTGCCTCTAATTCAGTCTTCTGTAGAGACCAACACTCTTTGTGTTTGGAATTGGTATGTACTGTTAATTTTCAAAGTATTGGTATACATATAATTGCGGTTTGGGTTAGACGATGTAATTTTCATGTTGGGGAGGAAAATTAGGGTTGTAGGCTGCCCACCATTCCTCCTGCAGACGGTCCTCCAGCTTCTGAAGGGCGAACATCTGCGCCATGTGTCGACGAGATGCCGCCGTCGACGTCAATAAATGCAAGGCCCGATCTTCTAGGATACTAAAATCCTGTTTATTCTTATGGGCTTGTGAGGTGAGATGTTGAAGTCCATAACGAAGATCTTGCAGGCGGTCATCGATATTGCTAAAGGACCTGACCAGTTTTGTGACTTCATCGACGTGTGCGTGTGTTGGATGATCACGTGGTGACAGCGTCTGCAACCTGTCACATTTCGTCAACAAGTTCGTCAGCCGCTTTCGCCGCTGAGTATTTTCGCTTGCTTCCTCGACGTCCAATTTCACTGAATCTTCAGTATCACATATAGAACTTGCAGATTCATTGCACACTTCGCTACTCACATATTGTGCGGAGGCTTCACGTGGACTCGGGTCAGAATTCCAAGCTAAGGACCTTAAGTGTTTAGTTAAATCATCTTCTCCACTAAACTTCTGAAACCAAATTGGACATTTTTCAGCTGCTTGTTCATCATCAGTCATGAGTGCTTCCACGGGTTCTAGTTTGCCTGCTACACATCTTTCAAGCGACAATTCATGATCGCTGAAAACATCCTTCAATTCCTCGAGTATGGACGTTTCTGCAACGTCATCAGTGGCGTACACACCGCTGTCTCTCGAGGCACAACTTAACATACTATAACACGCTTCACTCTGAGGTGTGACTGATCTTGTTTCTAGTTCATTGCTTGGCTCGTGTGTTTCTTCGATAAGTGTTTTTACCTCAATTTCGCCCTCGTGTGGTATTCTACTCACTTCCATACTATCGGTCTTTTGAGAGTCTTCCAAACCACTGTCATTCCAACTAGTCTCGCTACAAATTATACTCTTAACATAGTCATTATGTCTTTGTTTGTTAAAATACCGAGGAATATTCTTCTTCATCTCTGATTTTAAATTTTCTGTGGGATTATCGTTTTGCCTCGCATCACTAACAATTTGAGCTTTTTTGCATGTAATATTTGTGTCCAAGTTCTTTTCGTTGAAATTATTCTGCCCCTCGATACGGAAACTTAGCACAGACAGCTTTTTTATCTCGGTACTAAGTTCTAGTATCTCATCGTTGTACGTGGCCAACCATTGCGAATCGACCACTACTGTTATCTTGGCTTCCTCCTCTTGGTCCACCTCGGGGAAAACCCAACCGAATTCTGTCTTATCCTTGAAGTTCTTAAAACGTAGAGTCTCACGGCACTCTTGTGCCTCCTCGATGCATCTCAGCTGGTCATCATCTTCCCTGTGGAAACATACATCTTATTAATAATTATCCATTAGAACAACGACCAGAATTCTAAAAATTATCGTGGGCAGATTTTCAATTGTAACTAGAAATGAAAGAACAAAACTAATTAACAATGGAATTATATTAATCTTTCTTTAACTCAGAAAATCCCTTCGAAATTTACAGGAATGGAGCAATTATAACAGAAAAACATAGTTTACCTTATTCATTGCTTTTCGATTCTTTTTAAGGCTAGACTTTGCAGTACGTTTCGTGTACTGTCGTGTTCCATCGCCCTAACGTGTTGATGTTATAATACAGTACTGTACTATGCTTTAATAACTAAAGTCTTTAAGTGGGTAGGGTAAGTTAGTATATAAAGCTAGAGACGGAGCCGGCCCTAGCCTTTAGGGGGCCCCTCCACCCTTCAAACTCTCCCTAAATCGCGAGCTCTAGAGCGACCCGGGGCATATACTGTACCAGGGTTGAGTGCATATGTTTGCGCCCATGTACACACACACACACACACACACACTATATATATATATATATATATATATATATATATATATATATATATATATATATATATATATATATATATATATATATATATATATATATATATATATATATCATGTAAATCCACAATGAAAACGTGGATAAGATAAATCTTGATAAAATCACGGAAAATGGAAACAACTTTTAGCTTTCGTCTTTATTCAAGACATCTTCAGAGGCAACTGTTGCCTCTGAAGATGTCTTGAATAAAGACGAAAGCTAAAATGTGTTTTCCCGTGTGATTTATCAAGATATATATATATATATATATAATATATATGCTTATGACCACATAGGAAACAAGAAAACACTTGGGAAGCGCGAACTCTCGTTTCCTATGTGGTTAGCATATATATGGATCACGCGCACCTACAGTGATTTAGTTGCATATATATATATATATATATATATATATATATATATATATATATATATATATATATATATATATCTATATATATATATCTTGATAAAATCACACGGAAAAGGGAAACAACGGCACCTTAGCTTTCGTCATCATTCAAGACATCTTCAGAGTAACTGTGTGATTTTATCAAGATTTATCTTATCACGTTTTCATTGTGGGTCTACATGAAATATATATATATATATATATATATATATATATATATATATATATATATATATATATATATATATATATATATATATATATATGTGTGTGTGTGTGCACAAATGTTCACAACTGCCCAGTCACAATTAAGCGCTTAACGGCTTTTGGGGGGTAACCTTGATTAATCGATTTTCTTGCAAATTAGCTAATTAAATATGTACTGTAAGCACTGTATTACTTATACCTCGGTAAATATTCATATAATTTTACTTTTATATTTACTATTAGTTAGGGCGGTTGGTCCATTTTTGTTTCCTATTAATTAACTTTATTTGTTCAGTTAGTACAGGAGGAAACATAATGTTTGGTACTGTCACACCGGATGGCACCGTTCTCATGTGTGTCTGGGCCGAGCAGGACTCAACCCAGGACACAATTCGGAGAGATACACGCGTTACTGCATGTGCTGCGTAAATTTTTAGTCAATAATTTCAAACCAAGTCATTGAATTACAGTCAGTGTCTTACTGTAGTGTTCCCAAACAACCATAGAAGGGACGCCCTTGAATGTGGATGGTTTTCTGTGAGGAATAACCATAGAAAATGTTAATTTTTTTATATGGGTAACGTACATAAATTTAACCTCTATTTTTACCTAATCTTTAACTTTCTACTGCTATATATTGACAAGCCAAGGTTTATAAGTGAGCATCAAGACATAGTATGGCACATTAGGTATTGTTCCTTGTTTCGCAGTTTTGTTATTGGTTGTCCATAGCTAGTATTTTAGTGCGTGGGTGCTGACCAATATTGTACTAAAATCAATTTGTGAAATCATATGTTCGCTTTCTTAAAAGAATCTGAGATCCAACATGGATAATGCTAATTGCATTATCGGATGATTGGTAGGTAGAGCGAACCTCAAACTTTTTGTTGAATCATGGCAGTTGGTACAGCAGCGGAAATATTACGTCACCCCATGTAGTCAGAAATAACAGGAAACAAGATGGCCTAGAGTGAGTTAGTTGTAACCAACAAAGTTATAGTTTCTGAACCTTTTAAATTTATTCCAGTTAAAAAGCTTCGGCATATAACATCTAGCTGATTTTGTATGTCAAGTTAATGTATCTTAATTTTTAAATGTTTTGACTGGCACAGTTGCGGAAATTTGTTCCTGCACCCCTTGTGGCAACCCATGCCTCCAGACGGCAACGTTGCAGTAGTAGTATCACTGTTTATGAATGAATGGATATTGGTCGTGTAACAACGGTCGTGACTGGTGGATAGGTTCGCTAAAGGTCGTATAGGTTGGCCGTTTGGAGACACGGGCTACCACAGGCGGCGTAGGAACACATTTCCGCAACTGTACAAGCATTAATTTAACACGCTCACTTAACCCCTTCATCTACTGGATGCCACTTCTTATGTTTTATTTGGCTAAAGCCAGACGATTTTATTCAGCAGAGACCCTCGTACCCAAGGGGTTAAAGACTTTATATGTTATAGTGCAATAATACATTACAATATCAACATCGGTTTAGGTCCATATGTTAGTCATACTCCGCTCAAATTTTCATGTTCATGGTTTACGACTAATTCTTACCTCATTTTCTGAAAATATTCGGGTTTTCTGTATCTGCTCCTAGTTGCCTCACATTCGCAATCATAATAGGTAATTTTTTCTGGCAACTATCTTTTTTCTGCTTAAATTCCTCGCATCGATTGTAAATTTCTCTTTCTCAATTGTGCCCCGATGCCCAGTGCCCAGCACTCCACATTTTTGCTTTCACAATCCCCAGCTTGCGTCTCTTACTTCTGAGCCTTTCCATTTCTTTTTGCTCCACATCTGATTTCTTTATATCAGTCTTTCACAAAAGACACGAAAGATGACAGGGAGGTGGAATGTGACCACCAGGTGACGACTACAACACACGTGGGTTGATTAAGACGCTGGCGCAGCACGTTCTGCCGTAACACTGTCGTCTGTTGGTAGCTTATGCAGTGGTGCTGGGTTGGCGTGTTGAGCGGGTACGTCCTAATGCCTGTTGCCGCTAAGCTTCGCTCTGGTGTGTCACTTCACCTTCCTACATGTCTACTCCACTAACTTCACTGCCAGCGTTTATTGGTCTTTTTTTTATTAGTTTTTTTTTTTACTTAGTGATCACGTTGTAAATTGAGGGCCATTTTTAGATATTGTGAGGTTGTTTAAACATTGTTCAGGTATTATGTAAGTTATTTTTCAGTGAATTTCGTTCAGTCTGAGAGGCGGTACCTAATTTCGCTGACCTTAGTACATTCTTTTACCACGGCCATCAAGGCTACAGCTTCGGCTGCTATAATAGATTAACATAGGCAACTCTTTCCAAAAATCCATACATCTAGGTTAACTGCTGTGTACTCGTATTATAACTGACTTTCTAAGTCTGTGCCTAATTAGTCGCTGCGTAATACTCCGGTCTAACATTTTTGTGCTTATCAGACCCACTTGATAAGATTAGATTATGCATCAAAGAATATTTTGTTGATTATTCTTGCTTCCATCTGAAGACGAGAGAGAAAAAATACACGAAAAATAGAATAACATATATAAAATGTTAACGAATGAATCGGAGAGAGCATAAACGAAGTATTATGCAATATCAATCACCTGTTGTTACTGGTGCTACATTGCCAGGCTAGCTGAACTTGCTGGCGGTGCCACACGGACCTGTGCAAACTTCTGCTATCTGGACGATGAGTGCTTGTTTATAGTGTGCTTTACTTACTGTAACCTATATCCTCTTGTTTTCATATCGCTGCTTCTGTCGTGTGTTGTCTGCTAAACGGCGTTTGCTTGGAAGTGCCTCAGTCTGCCTGATCCGGGGCACTGGTGGTAGAGCGGTATCGTTCTTGCCTCGCAAGCAAGATGTCACGGGTTTGATTCCCAGGCCGGCAGAAGTTGTTTGGACACTCTTCCAAGTCCCCTTGGTCCCTGTTCACCTAGCAGCAAAGTAGGTACCTGATGTAAATCGAAAATTGCAAATTCGTATTCAGGGACAAATTGTTGGAGCTTCCAATAACTTGCTTAGACATAAACCATTGACTCTTCAGGCTTCTACGCCCTTAAATCATGAGAGATAAGGCAAGCATGAACTTAGCATGCTTCCCTGTTGGGCGCTGTAAACGCTTCTGCGCTTCACCTTACACAAAGATGTAGGGGGGGTGCCCAATAAATAAAAAAATTACCTTTTAATGTTTTTCTATATTATTTTCTTGGTGTATGGCATTAATTCCAATGAAGGATATAATGATGATGTGATACTATTACTAAGGCTGTGCTCTTTACCCAGAATAATGGTCGATGTTGAGGAAATTTTCCTCCCTCCTTGATTTATCTTATGATTCGCTTTCCCCGCGTCTGTTCACCAGCTTTATCTCCTTCTTATCTCTACTGTTACTGATACCAGTAGGAGAACGCTTGCGTGGATTGTGATAGCAAGTATGGTGATGGAGACAGTGACAGGTCTTGGCCCTCTCTTACTTAATCCACTGTCCTTCCTGCCACATCTATTGATCAGTGAGAAACAGCAGGACGAGATGTATGTGAGAATCAATGTTTCTTGGTCATACGTAAACCTCACCAAGGACTAAAGTCTATAGAAATGTGAGATAAACAAAGAGACTGAGGAACACAGTGAATCGGACAGTCCACAGTGCATAACTTGATCTCAAGATAATTCTGATTACTAATTAAAATTATCTTCAATACTTTTCACTTTCAACTTTATTTATTTTTAATGTAAGTTGAAACAGAGAGAAACAACATATACTCTTGAATTATGAAACACTACCCTGAGTTAACTGTTGTGTAGCGTTTCTCAAGTTCTCATTCGTTGACATAACCCGGATATTAAGGCAGGTGATGAAACCCAACCATTAGAGCAAATTTATTATTCTCTACTGAGAAAACTTTTACGGGCTAACCTGCCATGTCGAAAGTGACCAAGGTAAGACAGTGTGGTCATTTTATATTAGCTCACTGTTCTATTTAACCTAACCTAATCAGGGACTCCCCCCCCCCCCCACCCCTGATTAGGTTAGGTCGGTTTTTAGTGATTTTTTTTTTACACATATTTCTAATACCCAAAGAAAGAACGGTGCACTACTATAAATTGACCCACAAGTGTAGCTTAAGGGTACTTTACAGTACTGTAGTGTGTCCAGGTAACTAGGGACTAGAACTAGTGACTGTTGAGTGGGACCAGTAACCAGGTGGGATCCGAGTGGAATACGAGATCAAACGGGTGTTGAGAGGGAGCGAATCCCAGGTGACTTGAGTGGAATAGGGTATTGAGAGGGAGCTAGACCCAGGCTTATGTTGAATGGGATCAGTGACTTGTAAAATTATCGTTTCGGTCCTGTAGCGAACATTAGAATTTTAAGTTTTGGAGTCAGTAGTTTAGACAATTCTAAGACATTTTTCTTCTATAACGTTTCCGTCGGAAACGTATATTTTTCGAGTGTTTTAATCTATAAAATTACCAACACTATTACGTGTTTAAAGTGAGTAGGGCTTTGATGTAGAGGGAAAACGTGGGGTAAAATACTTTAAAAAAAACAAAAAAACATGAAACCAACTTTAGATAACCTGACCTAACGTTTCCTTACCTTTAAAAATCCTAAAACTATAAAAAGTTTGCTTTCGGTGTTTAGTAGGTGATGGTGTTGTTTTCGGTTTTTAGTATGTATTGGTGTTGTTTTCGGTGTTCAAATGAGGGATCCATAAACTTGAAAGTGATTGTTAATATTTTTACAAGTTAGGAAACGTCAGGTGAGGTTTTCAGAAGTTTGTTTGGTGTTATTTTTAGTATTTTACCCCACATATTCTCTCTACATCAAAGCCCTGCCCACTTTAAACAAGTAATATTATTGGTAATTTTATCGATTAAAATACTCGAAAAATATACATTTCTGACGGAAACGTTATAGAAGAAAAATGTCTTAGAATTGTCTAAACTACTGACTCCAAAACTTAAAATCTTAATGTTCGCTACAGGACCGAAACGATAAGAAGACCCAGTGACTTAAGTGGGACCAGGTGACTGTTGAGTGGGATCAGTTTTGAATGAGATTTGCCCCTTTCCAGTTGCCTTCCAAGTACCCCCCCCACCTAACTAACTTTATGCACCTCCCCCCTCCTCCCTTCTCTCACTCCCCTCATTGCTTCCCTCCCCTCATTGCCTCCCTTTTTCCTCGTCTCACTGTCTTCCTCCCTCGTCTCACTGCCTCCCTCTCCTTCCTCCTATTGCCTCCCTCTCTCCTCCCTCCCATTGCCTCCCTCTCTCCTTCCTCCCATTGCTTCCCTCTCTCCTTCCTCCCATTGCCTCCCTCATTCTCTCACTGCTTCCCTCTCCCCCTCCAACCTCTCACTGCCTCCCTCTCTCCTTCCTCCCATTGCCTCCCTCATTCTCTCACTGCTTCCCTCTCCCCCTCCAACCTCTCACTGCCTCCTTCCCTCCCCTCATCGTGATTCACCCTGATATAGATAAATAATTATTCCCCTCCACCATATAAGCATTTCTTCACAAAAGCATAATTTCTTTGGTAGCTTCTCGGATAATGACCATCCACTGTTTTTCATTGAAAATGGGTTTAAAAATACCCAGTTTTCATTGATTTTCTTAGGGGCTACTGTATTATGTTGGGAGCAATATATAAATGGCTGAAAACATGTACTAACCTAACCAAACTTAAGAAAACCTGACCTAAGTTAAATCTTAACTCGCCTGTATCTAGAAAACTAAGCATTTATACAAGAAAATTAATAGAACTAAAATAGTAATCAGCTTACAAAACCGTGTTTAATAACACCCTCTTAGTTACCGAACTGCTGACATCCATGCCCCTCATAGTTACTGACCCGCTGATAACCACGGTATTGTTTATATCTGCTGACTGTAAGATGCTTTATTAACTTGCCTATATCTCGAAAAGTACGCATTTGCCCAAGAAAATTAATAGAAGCTGAAGTAATCAACATACAAATACCTTTCATAATTACCGAACCACTGATGGTCACCAGTCTTATATTAGCCATTTCTTTTCCTGGAACTCCCACCTCCTTCTTCCTTCACACATGGTCTCTCACGGATACATTCGTCACCCTCACCTACAGTCTCTCTTTCTATCTCACCTCTAACTACCTCATCTTGTCTAACCATTCTGTCTTGGGTCTTGCCACCAGCCACCCACAGTGACAGTGGTGGTGAGGAACCTGCCGGTGAGTACGACGGAGGCTCAGCTGCGGTCCCTCTGTGAAAACTTCGGAGGCATTGTCGAGGTTGAGATCCCCAGACGAACGGAAGTGTTCGTCAAATTTATCTTTGGGTGAGTCGGGCGTGCTGTTGTTGTTGTTGTAATGTTATAACTGTTTTTCACCAATTAAGGTAAGTGCATAACAAGGTGCTAATCCTTGATATAATTATGTAGACATATTGGATCACCTGAAGATTAGACAACTAGGTTTGGCGTAATGGTCAGCATGCTCGCCTTGCAAGAGAGTGGACCCAAGTTCGATACTTGGGCAGGGTGAAACAATAGGCAACTTTATTTTACACCATTTGCCTTTGTCAACCGAGCAATTTGGGATCTGAACGTTAATAATAATAATAATAATAATAATAATAATTAACGGTTTATTGAAAGAGCTTGGCAGCCAGAAGGCTGAAAATATACAGTTACATATTTGGGGAATGGGTTACGAGTTACAAATAATATACAAGTGACATAACTACCTCCTAAGATGTCCCCACACACAACGCTTCCGTGACGCCTGCTGGACCACCACTCCACGACCCCCTGACGGAGACACGATGATCCTCCCAATACTGGCCAGATATTTTGTAAATAATATTAATTATGTGTTAAAGGAACATCCTTCCTTCCTTAGGCTTTAGTAAGCCCCTTTATAATATTTATACTGTATATACTTTTCACACTTGCCAGATGATTCTGGTGTCATTGTACAGGGGTACCTAGTGACAGCACTAGGATCCCGCTTCCTCTATCAAGGAATAAACAATTGAAAATGAAATTGAAGTAACATAAGTGACACAAATAAGACATATAATAACTTAGATGGGGATCAGCTCAAACTACAGTTCATTTCAACATAGTGACAGTGTAAGGAGCAGTGTTTACCGGGAGTGAATACACTGATTTATTACATGTTATTGATAATTTTTACAATGGTTGGGACTGGGCTGTTCTTATAGCGATCGGTTCGTGCACGTATGGGCTGGATGCGGTTGTGGTGTCGAACAGCAATTCTCGGACAGGGGATGTCAGGTGGTAGTAGGAGCCGGTGTCGGGGATGGTGTAGAAGCTTCTTACCAAATTTGCAGATAAGGTCGTGGTGATGGTCAGTGAGAGTCGAAAGGGTCAGTGTGTTGAGCGCTTCTTGATATGTGGAGTAGGAAGAGGAGAGAATAATTTTGCATGCCCTCTTTTGAACTTTTTCTAGGTGTTTACGTTGTGTGGCATTTAGGGAGGAAGACCAGGTGGGGGAGGCATAGGTGAGCTTGGGAAGTATGAATGTTGTGTATACACTGAGGAGCTCGTGTGCAGGAACTCCGAGGGACTTGAGTCGGCGGAGCAGGTGGAGACGGAAACTGGAGGCTTTGACAACTTCACTGACGTGTGGTTTCCAATTTAGTTTGTTGTCTATGGTGACGCCGAGGAGCTTCGTGGAATCTACAACCTGGAGTGTGTTCGGACCTAGGGTAATGGAAGGAGGTGGGACAATGTCGGAGGAGAGGTTGATGTGCATAACCATGGTCTTGGTATGGTTGATGGTGACATGGTTGTTGGTGGCCCAGTTTTGGAGACTGTTCAATAAATCCTGAAGGGCGGTATAGTTGGGAGCAGAATTGTTGACGCTGATCCCAATGGTGGAGTCGTCGACATATTTCCAGCGAGCAGGGGTTTCTCTTAGGGCATCATTGATGAGCATAAGGAAGCAGAGTGGTCCCATCTTGGTGCCTTGGGGGACGCCACAGGTGAGTGACTGAAAGGTGGAGACAGCCCCTCGGAAGCGTACAGCTTGGCGTCGGTCACTGAGGAAGTCTGTGTGGGTGGGTGTTTCAGGATGATGGTTAGTCAGTGCAGTGGGCAAGTCCGGTCTTGGGATTATTTCTTGACAATTTGTCATATACTGTTCTGTAACTTGTTAACATGGGATTTTGTCGTTGTGTTAACAACAGCTTCTACACCTTAAACAAATTCACACCAAGTGGCCATCGTCGAACACGAGGGGAAAACATTAATTATAATTAATCTGCAACTGAAGTAAGTTGGGGGTTAGTATTCAGATGATGCAGAATTTCTGTATATATCGCTATTTATGTCCATGGCCATTATTAATCGATGTCTTTCTACATCTAGCTTTATAGAATTAGAATTACAGTAGATAAGTTCATATCCGAATTCTACCTTTAGACAACACAAATTGTACTCATTCAGTTATTTGTTTACAGATTTGTAAGGTTTGTAAGCCTGGATGCCGCCCTGAATGCTGTGATGAAGTTAAATGGACTTGTGGTACAGCAACGCAGGATCAACGCTGAGGTGGCCCGCAGTCATTGGCGCAACACCAACAAGCAGACAGGTACTACCAAAATCCTTTTATCGGAAGCATTCATGAAACATGGAAACAGTATTTATACGACCTATGTAGTGCTTATGATCAGATTTATTTACCTTAACAAATCATTTATAATGTAAACAAATAAACTGAGAGTTTTGACGGATGAGAACAAAAGTGTTTTTGCGATGTAAAAAAGTTAGTGCCGGGTATCTGCATTAATACTTGTTCGTTCTACCTTATTCATATACTGTACTGTATATGAATTTGTATTATGAAATGAATAATTCAAGTTCTTAAGGCCAATACAATACTGTATATATATATATATATATATATATATATATATATATATATATATATATATATATATATATATATATATATATATATATATATATATATATATGCAAGTAAATCACTGTAGGTGCGCGTGATCCAGGTATATGCTATAACCAGAAGGAAAAAAAACACGAAGAAGATGTGAATTACACGAAAGCGCTTGAGAACTTCGTGTTTTCTTTTTCCTTCTGGTTATTAGCATATATATATATATATATATATATATATATATATATATATATATATATATATATATATATATATATATATATATATATATATATATATATATATATATATATATATATATATATACACATATATATATACTTTTTTCTGGTAACGGAAAAATGTTCTTGTAAGTTCCAGAAATTGCGCATTACATCATCTCTTGAACCAGAAAAAATATCCCCTATATCCGTTATTTTATGGCTACCAGAATATTTTTTTCGGAATTTTTGGAAAATGTATCCGATTTTCATCTCTCAAACCTGGAAAAAACTACCCTATCCCCGGAATTTTCCGGGTATCGGAAAAATTTTCTTGGAATTTTCCGGAAAAAGTGCCCCTTGGAAAATCATTCCAAAAGCAGGAATATTCCAGAAAATTACGATTTGGTACGATTTAACCAGAAAATTTAAATTCCGGGTTTGAGGGAATCCCGCTAACGGAGAAATTACTTACTATATTGTTATGGCAACCTTTTATACAATAGAAATAACCATTATAGTTTACTTCTATACTGTATAACCAATTCATCTGTGAGAGAGGTTACTCTTTAAGTACAGTAATTGTGATAACAATATACATTTACATTTAATAGTTCCTGATGTTTGAGACCAAATATAACCCTTCTCTAACAGTGATGCATGAAGGCTTCGATGGTGATGACAGTAAGGACGAAGAGACGAATTCCAGCCTGTCAATGGACGACATCAACACCACCATCATACAGATCTGTCACCGACAGTGGCAACAGCACCGACGTAGACACCGAGACACAGGTCAGACTTCAACTTAGTTTGTAATTCTCACTCACCCGTTGTTTATACAGGAGGTCCCCGGGTTACATACATCTGACTTACAAATATCCGCCGATACGAAGGAGATTAAACTTTAAATTTACAAAGTTTTATTTTCCTGATGACTTATGTTTTACTATCATTTACTGTATTTTGTCATTCTATTTCTTCTTTTTTCTTAAATTAAGTTATTTTAGATGTATATAAGTACTTAGGCTATGATATATGAGATTTTAAACATTGTTTTGCAAGTACAGTATGCACAAGGGTATGTGGTTCAACTTAAGTACATTTCCGGCTTCAGAACATCAGTAGGAACTGAACTCGTACGTAACCCAGGGACTGCTTGTGCAGGATAATTCAGTCATTCATATCTTTCTGCTATCACAAAATTTTAGCTTTTTTAGTATTCTGTCTCACATTTCCAAAGATGTATTATTTTATAGGAATGATGATTGTCATTGTTTACATATAAAAATCCCTACACAAACTGTAAACTGGTTGGCAGAGAACACCAGAAAAACAAATATATATATATATATATATATATATATATATATATATATATATATATATATATATATATATATATATATATATATATATATATATATATATATTCCTTAACTTGTGCATGCCAATTTTTTTAATGAATAACTACCAGTATTTTACTTTTAAAATTACATGATTTGTCAGGAATCCAAATATGACAATGCGCTGAAGTTCTCGGGCCATTGTGAGAAGAAGGTAAATCAGGCAAATAAATTATTGGGTCTTATAAGAAGGTCGTTCAGATATGTAGACGGTCCGTCCCTTGTAACGATCTTCAGGAGTGAAGTGCTTCCCCATCTGGAGTACTGTCACCCCATCTGGTCCCCGAGATATGCTAGGGACTGTCAGTGGGTTGAAAATGTTCAAAGGAGGGCCACCAGACTGGTGCCTGCACTTCGGCACCTCAGCTACCCTGAGAGATTGGAGCGCCTGAACTTGCCTAGCTTATACTACAGACGGGCAAGGGGGGACCTAGTTGAGGTGTATAAGCATCTCAGGGGCACTACTCCTTAAGTGGCGGTTCATGGGGTCACAGGGGTCACAGCTCAAGATTGAAGAAGCCGCAAGTCCAGAAAACCGTGAGGGCAAACTTTTTCGGAGTGAGGGTTGTAAACTCTTGGAACAATCTACCAGAGAGTGTTGTGACGGCACCGAGTGTGAGCTCTTTCAAGAGAAGACTTGACCAACACTGGAGCGGGTTCAGGTACATTCAGGAGCCGGTGCATGCCCAGTATTTGCCAACAGTGCGTGACAGAGACGTGACCGATCGCCCGGGCGGCTAGCGAGCCGATCTTTTGGTGAAGAATATAAATGAAAAGAGACGTGACCGATCGCCCAAGCGGCTAAAAAGCCGATCAGTGGCGAAGAGGATAAAAGTAAAAGTAAAAAATATTATTCTCCGACGTTAAAGTATTGAGGTACAATATAGTTTGTACAGTTTGTAACCATAAAGTTAGCCAGGCCATTACTCTCCTTTGTGACTTATTGCTAGTTCATTGGGTCAGTGTTTGCTTGGACAGTTGACTCATTGTCTCAATCAGCAAGACCGGCAATAGATATATGCATGCCATTGTAAAGGGGAATTTATTTGAAAATTTTATTTTCTATTTCTTTGGGTATTCTTTTTTTACATTTCTATTTGTTTTAAGTTATATTTTCTAATTCAATTTCTGTTAGTACTATTTCTTTTATTTTGTAAGTGTACTTTATTTTACTGTTAAGTTTCTCTTACTTATTTCATTTATATATATATTCTGATCTTGTGCTTACCTGGGAACCCTGTTATTGGACAATAAACAATACTACAATACTCACGGTAACCACCACCACCCAGGTTTTATATCAGAATATATAACTGCATTAACCTTTTAAACATTCGGTTAACAACGTGGTGAGGGTTAGGCTCGTGGATTCAGTTGTATTTAATGATACCAAGATAGAGAAGAAACAAAGGCAATACTGCAGGAATAATGATAACCCAACATACTTAAAAGATTATTTATTAAAATGAAGTTAGGCTTGTAACTACTTTCAGTAATACAAAAATACAAGGACCGTCTTCATGGTTTCACTCAATATAAACCTCTAACCTAGTTTAGCCTTTCAACATCAATCATTAATTGGTTCACTTTATACTGAAGACCCACAACATACTTTTACATGTAACACAATTGAGCACCAAAGTTACAGGTCACCTGAGTGATTATCTCTTAATTACCATTAGGAACCTTAGTAATAGCACCATAGAACACCTCCGATGGCACCGGAACTAATAGCATCCTAGTACCACTTAACTTCACTTGTCAGTAAATAAAGTAGCGACCCTTACACCACACAAGTGCTCGGCTCAGGACACATATAATTGAGTAGGTTACAGTTATAGAAATCCTATTAATATTATACCTGTTAATCAACCCCACTTATCATTGTTGACTCATAATAAGATGCTATGAGCAGGATGTGTCCACTCCACATTTCAGCTCTCACAATGAGTGAACTTCACACATACACACGCACACACTGACCACCACCTCTGAGTGGCTTGGTTCGTCTGGGTGAATCTAGCTCTCCGCCTCGTCACACGACGCTCTCAGATCTTAACAGCATTCACACAGATCCATACTGGTGCTGGGCATTGTCCTGGCATATGTAGCGACCACCCTTGGTCGGATCAGCCAGTCAGCCACCTCTTGTTACACGGGAGGAACGAGCTGCGAGCGATTGTGTTGTTTGTAAACAAACTTTACTTACGTTTTGGCAAAGTGAATATTCATGTATGACTGTTGATCACAGGACAAAATGTGCATTTACTTAGTTGGACTACTTATATCATGGAATAATATACAAATAGATGAAAGCAACACGATATACGAACAGGAATAAAATACAAACAAATGCAAGCAATACAAAATACGAGCACAATTATACAACTTGTTTATATGGTATGAGAACGTCATGAGGTTGTAGTGGATTCCTCCCCTACAAACGTTTGTCGCCGAGTAGCCGACCCCGCGAATTCCCCAGTGTATGCCTCGTGGTCTAGGTCAACCAGCGCCGCCATACATCACGGAGGTCAACTATTAAGCCACGCCTACCCCAGCTATATAAGACCTCACCTCGTGGTGACCTACCTCTCTACCTACACCAACCAGCCAGCAACACCTCCTCCTCCTCCTCCTCCTGCCTGGCGGTCCTCGCTCCCGCCGGCGACCCACAAGCTGTCCTCCTCTGAGCATCCTCAACAACCAGCTCTCTCTACATCACGCTTGTAACCACACTGCCACTTCCCAGCACCAAGCTGCACTATACATCCAATACAACATGTATACAGAGAGCACATTGTGAGTTTCCTTTCTCCATCCCATCCTCAGTGTGAATCAAAATAACCTGTACCCCACAAGGTAACGGTGTAGGTCGGGCTTGTATTAAATATTCACTATGACTAGTAAATACCTATGTCAATGTATGTAACATGCTAAGGGTTTGCATTGAATTCTTAAGTCTAATTTTTATTATCTAATCAATTTTTGTCTGAGCTCTCACTGGGCCCCAGTAAACTCATGCAGTACACCAAGTGGACATCATGTTTCTAACCTTTTAAGTTTCAGGTCACAGACGGTATATTTCATATTATTCAAGGTATTCATGGCGTTCTCTGATGTTCACAAAACACATACTGTAATTTGCGGAAGCAAATCATTCAGTGGGGGTACAGACTTCCTAGTAATTATAGACAATTAAGGCGTTCAACATATACTCACGTGATCGTGAAGGCCCCAACTATCTGATAATATATATTTTTTAATACTACACATTTATGATTAAACAGGTTTGAATATTATTTGGATACCCAGGTTTATTCGTTTTCTCTCATAGAGGTTAAAGAGAAAATGTAATACCGGTAACTCGTGTAAACAGATGTTTTGTGGCCGATGAAACATAATATGAATAAACGGGGGTGTTGATATGATATTTATGCAACTGTTCCCATCACAAGTTACAATATTGTTCTATTGACAATAGTAACCTTACACGGTCATTATGTATTGACAACATCAAAAATATTTATATTCTTCAATCCAAGTTCCATTAATGTTTTGTATTTTTAATACTGCAATGACGAGGCATAATTTTTTTTTAATAATTTTTGTTAACTAGGTGTTATGACTATTTTCTATTCCAAGCAGCAGTAATTTTGGCAATTTTAGGGTGATTTGTTTTTATATTGATGTATTACCCATGTAAAAATTTTCTAGAATGAATTGCATCATTTTACTTTTACTTTTATCCTCTTCACCACTGGTCGGCTCATTAGCCTCTTGGGCGATCGGTCACGTCTCTGTTACTTTTCTTTTTCTTTTACCCTCTTCACCAAATGATCGGCTCGTTAGCTGCTTGGGCGATCGGTCACGTCTCTGTTACGCACTGTTGGCAAGTACTGGGCATGCACCGGCTCCTGAATGTATCTGAACCTGCTCCAGTGTTGGTCAAGTCTGGCGCTCCAATCTCTCAGGGTAGCTGAAGTGCCGAAGTGCAAGCAAGAGTCTGGTGGCCCTCCTTTGAACATTTTCAACCAACTGACAGTCCCTAGCATATCTCGGGGACCAGACGGGGTGACAGTACTGCAGATGGGGAAGCACTTCACTCTTGAAGATCGTTACGAGGGACGGACCGTCTAGATATCTGAACAACCTTCTTATAAGACCCAATAATTCATTTGCCTGATTTACCTTCTTCTCACAATGGCCCGAGAACTTCAGCTCATTTTCAACATACACACCTAAGTCCTTCTCACATTCAGTCTCAACTAGTGCAGTTTCTTCATCCCGTTGGGACATATGATACGCTTTCTTACCGTTGGTACGCCTCAGATGCATTCTCTTACACTTCGTGACATTGAATCTCAGCAGCCATTTCTTCGACCATTCTTGGAGCCCACAGAGGTCCTTCTGCAGCTCTTCGCAGTCCTTTTGGTTCTTGATTACCCGAAATAACTTAGCGTCAACGGCAAACATGTGTATGGAGGAGTGTACAACGTCAGGCATGTAATTTATGAAACAAACAACAGCGGGCCCAATACACTGCCCTGTGGTACCCCGCTTGTGACAGGTACGGGTGATGATTTCGTGCCACTAATCACCACACACTGCTTGCGGTCATGGAGAAAGTCTTCTATCCACACCGGGACATTTCCCCGAATTCCGTACCCTTCCAGTTTGATTTTCAGCCTTTCGTGGGATACAATGTCGAAAGCCTTGGCAAAATCTAGGTAAATATTTTCGATATTACCACCCCGTTCCAGAATATGGGTCCAAATATCCAATACCTTGAGCAATTGTGTTAAGCAGGAGCGCCCCGGCATACAACCATATTGGTAATCTTTTACAAGGTTGTTTCTTAGTAGATGTTCCATCGCGGCATCTCTGATAATACTCTCAAGTACTTTACACATTATGCTGGTCAGGCTCACCGGTCTATAGTTGTTCATGGAGTGACGATCGCCCTTCTTGAAGATAGGACTCACATAAACCACTTTCCATCCACTGGGGACATTTTGTTTATCCAGGCATTTACAAAACAGGATCTTCAGGGGCTCGGCAAGCTCGTTGTACAGCTCTCTTAGCACTCACAAACCAAGCTTCTTACTCGCCTGTTTCTCGGTTACTGTTGGTGTTATTATCTGTTACCTCTTTCTATTTTCAAGACTCGGGCTCCTTACTCTTTCTCCATCGTCGCATCTTTGTATTATATCTCTCGAAAGTAATATGTGCGTGTATCCGGTGTGTGTGTGTGTGTGTGTGTTTAAGACCTCTTGGAATTCATAAAATCGGGTGTAGATTGAGTGTTTGATCAACTGTATTATGTAACTCCCTGCTTAGAATAGGAGGAACTTTTATTATTATTATTATTATTATTATTATTATTATTATTATTATTATTATTATTATTGAATAATAATTCCTGATTGGGTTTTAGAAGACATCCTCTTCCATTTTCAGACTTGCCTTCTTTTGGCAGAATCATGGGGATGTTGGCTAAGCTTCCCACCAGTGAGGATGAGGAAAGTGAGACTGAGGTTGAGTCGTGACCATCATTTGAGCGTACATACTTACTGTTACGTGAACTGTATTTAGACGAAAATTAAGATTGAAACTAATACAGTCGGTCACCTGAAGATTAGTCCCAACTTATTTCACCCTACCGCCATGACGCTAACATAACCCAACCTAACCAAATCAAATCTACCTTAACCTAACCCCCATCAAGGTAACGTTGGGGTGCTTAATCATGATGTGAAATAAGCTGGGAGGCTGATCTTCGGGTGATAAGTTATAGTAATTCAGTAATGATGTTGAAAGATAATTAATAATTGTAATAGCAGTAACAGACATTAAAATGCGGGTTGTGTATGGTAGGTTATTGAGGGTTTTTATTGACAATGTAAAATAAATACATAATAAAATAGATTAATTTTTTTGTGACTTAAATTTAATGTTTAGAAAATTATGTCATAGACAGTGTGTAGACTGTAGACTGTCTATCCAATAAAGCGATGATACACACCTCAAATACAGTATTTCATAAACTGCTACAATAGCCAGGGTTTAATACAGTCTTTAGTATTTCTGTGCTTCAACAAGTAAGGTCTGTAAGCAACAATTACATTTAAGTTAGATAAAAGCTCTAACGAATAGCTCTTGATGTTATAATATGGACAGATGAATACCCAAGATCAAGCCCAATGGCTCCAGGACAACTAGGAGACCATTACATGTGAACCACACGGCGGTTGACAAAGTTTAGAAAAATCTGATTATTTCAAGACCTAGGTCACGACAAATGATGAGGGAAATTGGTTTCGAATGAACACCATAAGTAGGTGAACAGAGCTCAATGTATTCATTGCTTCAAGTTTTTCGTATAATACTCTAGCTATATATATACAGTATGTATGTGTGTGTGTATATCAGGTGGTAGGAATGAAGACCTGATATACATGAATGTAAAAGCAACAGCGCGTAATTAAACCATCAGCTTTTCAAACTCAACCCGGTGTAATTGCATTTAAGAACACAGAGCGAGAATTACTGTCCGCGGGGAGTCAGTTGGTAACAGAAGCTTATTTATATGCAAGTATAGCTCAGTGTCACACAAGGGAGGCGCCAGCCAGGTAGGTGCTGTCAGGAAACCCGGCATGATATGAATTATGTACAACACACACACACACACCAGAGGGAGAGGGGGAGATAATATCGACGGTCACTCTTCAACCTTACGGTGATGTTATATTATTATTACGCCTCAACAGTTAAGGTTTTAAGCACTTGACAAGGTTAATAATTAGGCTATACTAGTCTATCAACAATTACAGATTAGGAGAGATAGAACTTTCTTTATAATCTTGCAAATAACGGGGTTTTGCTTTCAGCATTGTTTGTGGTTTGTTTCCCAAAAATAACTCAAGTACGGTTTTGCAGATTTTCACCAAACTTGGTTTGACTAATGTTGAATTTTTACTCAATATAACACTCTGATAGACACACATACACACACACACTTGGGGAATACGTATACAAAAATGGAACACTCACACTCCACACACAAGATACAGAAGATACCGAAGTGTAAGCATACTGTTACATATGGTGGGTGCAGTTTATACGCCACATGAACTGGAGGTAATACACAATTGGGTTTACACGAATATATCGCATGCGTATGAGGTACAGGTGTTAGGTGTGGCGTGTGTAAGGGCGGTAACGAGCGGGATGGTTGTCCGCCGCTCGTTTGCTTGTTCGTGGCCCCAAGGGGGGGGGGGGTAGACGGAGGTGAGAAGGACGCTGCTGCTGCTTCATCACACATCAGACACTAGCCAACCAACACCACAACTGCACTTACCTCGCTGTTCGATCCAACTCGTAGGCTGATTTCCCATCCTTCACCATTCGTCTGTCAATCTCCAGACACCTGCTTCCTTCACCATTCGTCTGTCAATCTCCAGACACCTGCTTCCTTCACCATTCGTCTGTCAATCTCCAGACACCTGCTCCAGCTACTATAATAATAATAATAATAATAATAATAATAATAATAATAATAATAATAATAATAATAATAATAATAATAATAATAATAATAATAATAATAATTAACGGTTTATTGAAAGAGCTTGGCAGCCAGAAGGCTGAAAATATACAGTTACATATTTGGGGCATGGGTTTCGAATTACAAATAATATACAAGTAACATAAGTGATACAAATAAGATATATAATAACTGGATGGGGAAAAGCTCAAACTACAGTGCATTTCAACATAGTGACAGTGCAAGAAGTAGTATTTACTGGGAGTGAATACACTGGTTTATTACAAGTTATTGATAATTTTTACAATGGTTGGGACTGGGCTGTTCTTATAGCGATCAGTTCGTGCACGTATGGGCTGGATGCGGTTGTGGTGTCGAACAGCAATTCTCGGGCTAGGGATCTCAGGTGGTAGTAGGAGCCGGTGTCGAGGATGGTGTAGAAGCTTCTTACCAAATTTGCAGATGAGGTCGTGGTGATGGTCAGTGAGAGTCGAAAGGGTCAGTGTGTTGAGCGCTTCTTGATATGTGGAGTAGGAAGGGGAGAGAATAATCTTGCATGCCCTCTTTTGCACTTTTTCTAGGTGTTTACGTTATGTGGCATTTAGGGAGGAAGACCAGGTAGGGGAGGCATAGGTGAGCTTGGGAAGTATGAATGTTGTGTAAACACTGAGGAGCTCGGGTGCAGGAGCTCCGAGGGACTTGAGTCGGCGGAGGAGGATGCCATGTCGGCGTTGGAGGATGCCATGTCGGCGGATGCCATGTCATCGCCACTTCCTCCACACCCTATCCACCGCCCGTGCCCTGGCGTCTCTCCTGTGTGGCAAGACATTGCCCACCAACGCCTGCGCCAAGTGAGGAAGCTTCCCTGGACCTTCCCCCTGAGAGCGGACCACCGCATTTACAGAACATTCCACCGGGCTGCAGCCGTAGGATATGTCTGTACTTTGTTTGACTCCCGTATTTGTTTATTTATTATTTGTGTGAGTAGTGTCAATTATTGTGATTATTTTCGTAGTAAAGAGATGTTAATCTCTAAAGGTTGTTTGTAACCCTTTGGAAACCCATGGTTCTTGACTTTCCTTTTATAAGATCCCGATTAGACTGGCAAGGGATTTATATACCAAAGTCCAAACCTTTACAGCGTGAATGGACCAACAAGTGTAACTGGTGGGGTTAGGGGGAGAGCGTAGGTACAGGCGAACGAAGATAAAAAAAAAAAAAAAAAAAGTGGAAGAGTAAAGGATATGAACTGGCTATATTACGATTGACTTCCTCTCTCTTTAAGTGATAACCACTTTCATTATCTCCTACCCTTCTCTTTCTCTCTGTTAGGTTATGTTTAATTGAGTTAAGTTAAGTGGTTAGGATAAGTCAAGTTATATTAAGCTGATAACTAAAGGTAAGTCATATTTTAAATTCGAGTAATATTAAGTCAAATTGTTTGGCTAAATAATTCTAACTAATACAACCTTACCATTTATGGTTACCTGATCTGTGCTGAAAATTTGATTGCATAGTATTACCTGATGATTAATCGTCCAAGTTTATTTTACCTGATAATTAAACCTAACCTAAAGCTAATATAACCATGGTTAACGTTACTCTAACGGTCTAACCTAACCTATTCGAACCTAAACTAAACTAACAACCTAATTTAACGCTAACCTAAGCTAACGTCTACCTAATAATTATAACTTATTAACCCATCTCCCCTCAGGCAGCGTTGATGTGGTTAATCATCAGGTGTTATAAGCTAGGGAGGGGTTGATCTTCAGATGATCCACTGTATGTTGTGGGAGGCACTGACTAGGTGTCAAGTGGCGTACACTCGAGAGACCTCTAACAGTAACGTTGGTGGTGTTGCGTGACACTTTGTTCATGCTTTGTATCGGATGCAAACGATGATACACGATTGCGTGACTGAATAGAATTAGGTCACTTACTGATATATTTCTACATAAAATATTCGGACTGAATTTGATTATAAAATTTGGGGATTATCTGAAAAATCTCCCCAGTATAGCTAAGGGGAAGGAGATACTTACAGGTTAGTTAGGTTAGGTTAAAGTTGGGTTGCATTAGGTTGGGTTAAGTTTGGTTAGGTTGTTAGATTAAACCAGATTTGGTTATGTTAGGTTAGCGTGAGGATGGGATCACTTGAAAAATCAGATGTGGAGGGTGGGGTAGATTCTTCAACTGGAGCGGGCTGGGGAGATTAGCCAGGTGATTTCAGTTCTCAAGGTCCAGGGAAGTTCCTGTTCTGGCACGACGTACTCTTATGCAGACGGACGTTCATGCAACGGCTAACGGACCTCCCCACAACTATATTCCTTAAAATGTACTTTTAAAGTTTTCATTGTGTATTGTTCACATACGTGCTCACCAACAATGTTTAGGTTATCATATTGCAGTATATCTCTGGGTTCTTGTGAAGCGGTATGCCCCATTAGTAATCTTTCGGTAAAGTGCTTGTGCCATCAGCAGCTGATTCTGTTAATCTGGAAGTCAACGGGAGGCAATGTTTATCGTGTCAAGAAATAGAGCGAGCACTACGTTGTGAAACTAACTTTTTGTTGATCACAACTATAGCAGACGACGCTCTCTCTCGGCACCAGTGTTTTGAAGTGTTACAACGGAGAGAAAGAGGTGACTATATATGTTGGAAAATAAAGAGGTTAACGAGGAAACAATTGTGCAAGAATGAATGATATATGAAGGTAGAATATGAGGAAAGGTTGAAATGGGAGAGAATACATTTCCCTTTACTGGTAACGTAAACTTTCAAACGTTTTCACAATGCACGTCTTGTAATGTTGGCGTTTTTCAACTGTTGAATGTAGCTGAAGTTGAATGAACTTGGCATTAATTTGTTAACAAGAAAGTCTTGATCCATCAGTTTTTAACTCCGGTATATAGTAATTAGTATGTTGAGTTTCTTAATACTTGTGCAATCCAAAGTTTAAATGTTTCGTTTACACAACCAAAAGTTTTAAAATAAGACGAAACCCACAGAAGTTTTTATACATTGTGGTCAAGTTGTGTTTACATTTCTGTGAGATTATTTGGTATCTCTACAAGGAAGGTATTTCTGTAAGCAGGAACATTTGATACTGTTAAAACATATATCACAGTACCCTTTTTAAATGTTAAAAATATAAATTTGGTCACTTATGTAAAATAAAAAAAGGCGGTAGTAGATAATATAAGAGTATCTAGCACGCCTTTCTCGCTCCCCCTCTCCCGCTTCATAGTCTTTCATTTGTATCTGATCCTGGCGCCTGGGGAAGTGGAGGTGACGCAGAGTGGTGGTTCAGTCAGTTCGCTCACCCCAACTCTTGCGGCAGGTTATAGCAGTTGCTTATTAACAACAGTTGGTTGTATTGGTGTTTTGTGCTACATTCAAAGGTGTGTGGGATTTGTTACAGGTAAGTAAGTCCCTGTGCCGTTGTTGTTAGATATTTTCTGCTAGTTATATTGATTTTCTTGATGCTGAGGTCGACAAAGGCGTACGAAGTCAGGAAACCACCAACTCAATGTAGGTATTTTGAAGGTAAAACCTCGCCAACACGACGCCGGTTTTAAGGTGTAATGGAGAGCCATTTGAAAGCCCGACACTTTAAGATTTCCCCGTTCGTGAACTCGGATAGCTAGTTATTTATCTTGGACTGAACTTGTATTATACTTAGGAAGGGAATGTAGGAAATTTGTTTAGTTCCACGTCATCATCTGATACAGTGATTTTAGTAATTATTTGCACTCGTCACATGAGTGTGTGCGTGAGCCACACCCTCCTTCCGTCAGGCACGACGCTCGGGTGATCCTCAACAAAGAGCAGGGCACCTTCAAACCTCTATATTGATGGACACCGGTCCTCAGACTGGCTTGAAAATATGCTTGCTTTAATATACAAAATAATATTTTATGCACACGTACTTTTAAATTGCACCTTTATTCATACATACTACCTGCACGATATGTATTAATGAACTGACAAATAATATTGTACTGTACACACTTAAAGTATGTTTAGTTTTGCTTACATAGTATTTGTATCTGCAAATAAACGTATACTATTAATATACTCGTCTTAATATAAAATACATATACGGTTTTGGGTTAAAATAATATGCAATGGGTTGACATTTTTTGAACCTAAGGGAGTTGGGGAATTTTGAGGCTTCCATTGCTTGGATTCCATCTTTGATTCGGGGTTCCATTGATGAATCCAAATCTCATCTTACGTCACCAGATAGAAAGGAAAGTTGGCTGCATTGGCTATGTATAATTAAATGAGCTCCCGATTTGGGACCACCTTCTGGTGTCGATGCGGAGCATAGGAACTGAGGAACTCATCTTGCATAAACATTAAATATCCCCAAATGTTTGTGGAAAACAGTCAAAACACTTACAAGTGAAATGCCAACCTTAGTGCTTATTCCATCGACTTTGAAATGCTGGTCTTCCATAGTCAAGGTCTTGACTGCGAATTTTCAGATTTGCACCGCAAGGGTCTAGTTTGTTGGGTAACCCCTTGCATCTTGAAGGTCGTCCGTGGTTATATTTAAGGCTTGAACTCCTGGACCCACCTTGTGTATGAGGGGGCATTACGCCATACACTCCCACAATGCACTGATGAATTTCCTTTGCAGTGAAACCTTCTTGTGTTAGAAATTTTGTGCCACTCATACTCAACTTCACCAATAATCTGTATTTTCTCAAACGTCGTATTGTAAATTCTCACAATGAAACACTATTATCACATTCGATAAATTAAGCGAAACATGTCCAAACATTGAACTTTGTCCCCCCAAAAAATTAGGACCCCTGTCATATTGCCCACTAATATATACATACCAGCTTATACACATTTAAACACATCCACATTTATGAAAACACCAATACCCATATATATCAGCAGTAGGTAAACAGCTATCAAACACAAACAGGGAGGTACTACCGCCTGGGAACTTATTGGAAGCATAATGTGTTGTCTAATGGTAGACCCTGCTGCCATATGGTATCACGAAAATTGTGATTAAGTCCCAGGTTGCTGATCTGACTTTTTGCCTCATTTATACACAATTGCAGTCTCAATTGTTTCTTTTACTTTCACAACACATCATACAGTGTGTATCGTTTCTCATTCTTGATCTCTCTCTCTGTATGTGTGTATATATATATATATATATATATATATATATATATATATATATATATATATATATATATATATATATATATCCTTCCCCAGGCCCCGATATAGGTCGATGGCGTGTGCCCGGGTGGCTAATCCCCGTAAAAAAAAAAAGTATACCTTGGCTGCAATAGGCTGGCTAGAGCACGAACTATCAATTTACCGTGTCCTAGAATCTTTTAAAAATTCAAAAGGCTTTACTGGCCAGTCATGTTGGTTATCACTTAAACATATTTGATTAATGATAAATTGGAGGTTTTACCAAGATGTGTTGGTGCAGTTTTTTTTCCGTTACTGTTAATATTTATACCTGGCGACCTGTCTCTACTGTAGTGTTGAAATTGGATCGCCTGAAGATTACCCCCAGCTTATTTTCCCTAATGGATAAATACCCTAGCCCTTCCTTGGGGATTAAGTTAGGTTGGCATAGTTAATTTTAATGCAAAATAAGGTGGGGGCGAATCTTCATGTGATCACACACACCTATACATACATACTACTACTACTTTGCTGTCACTTGGAATCGAGTATGACGATCATCCAGCTATGAAGCAATGATATGAGTTAATACGGATGTATTGTGTTTCTTCGTTAGGTAAATTGTACTGTATGTTTACACAATATTGAAGAAAAGATATCGGCTAGTTTAGGTGTGCTTTACTGTTTGTGTGTGTTTGTCTTCATGTTTTCGTTTATGTATAGTGGTGTTTGTATTATTCGAATTGCTTGAAGATTAGGCAGTCCAGCTTGTTCACCTGATGATTATACACACTTAACGCTACCTGGGGGTTAGATTAGCGTTAGAGGTTTTAATCATTAAGTGAAATAAGCTGCTATGCCAAATCTTCAGGTGATCCGTAAATTCTCAACCCCGAATGAATAAATATCCCCAGGTCGGCCACTCTGCTAAGGTGTGAGGGAGAGATAATCGCGTGTCCCAGACTACCATCACACTTAATTTCCTTCGGCTAAAACCTTGGACGTTAACTGTTGATCCCTTGGTCACGGGGCTCGTATAGGTTTAACCACACATGATCGCGCCTGCCGGTTCTCCATCACGTTCTGAGGAGGGTCATGTGAGGCGCTGTTGAGCACTGTAAATGCTTCTGCGCTTCACGTTACACAAGGATGTAGGGAAGTGCCCAATAAATAAATAAAAATAATAGCAAGGTTGTTCATTTCTATATAAGTTAATCCCTGTGACTGAGGAAAGAGACCTAGGGGTACTTGTAAGCCCGGACCTACGGCCTAGAAAACAGTGCGTTAATGTTCGAAATAAGGCAAACAGAGTATTGGGTTTTATATCTAGAAGTGTAAGTAATAAGAGTGCAGAGGTCTTATTGCAACTATATCTTGCGCTAGTCAGGCCGCACCTCGATTATGCGGTTCAGTTCTGGTGCCCTTATTATAGAATGGATATCAATTCACTAGAGTCGGTGCAGCGAAGAATGACGAAATGATTCCGGGACTTAGAAACCTTCCATATCAGGATAGGTTAAAGAAACTTAACTTGCATTCCCTAGAAAGACGAAGAGTGCGGGGAGACATGATAGAAGTATTTAAGTGGGTGAAAGGAATCAATAAAGGGGATATAGATAAAGTTCTTATAATATCCGAGCAGGATAGGACTCGTAGCAACGGATTTAAGTTGGATAAGTTTAGGTTTAGGAGGGAGATAGGAAGAAACTGGTTCACAAATAGGGTGGTGGATGAGTGGAACAAGCTTAGCAACTTTGTAGTAAGTGCTGGAAAGTTTCAAAAGGAGGCTAGATAGATTCATGGATGATAGAGAGTGGTAGTAACTCTCGACAGGAGCTGCCATGCACAGGCCAACCAGCCTATTGCAGACTCCTTATTTTCTTATGTTATTATATCAGTGTTGTTCACCTTATTTCAGTCACAGAGGCAACACTTGAATTCAAGACCCGAAGATTAGACCCCCAGGTTATTTTACGTGAAGAAGTAACCAGTAACCTAACCAGGGTCACACAAATGGCCCGGGTAAGACTGGGGTCAACTTGTCAAGTACAAGGAGACGCAGGCAGAGTTGTTTATCTGACGTCATCACTCTCGCCCGCCTCGAACCTCACCTGTGCGCCGGCTGACCTCTCTATATTGACCTTGAACCTAACCTACCTTTACATGACCTTAGCTTTAGGGTGTTTAATCTGGTGAAATAAACTGGGGCTAATCTTCAGGTGATACGAATTAAAGAAATCGATTTTAAATAATGGCTTTCCCTGGTGGACTGGGGCTTGGGTTCATCCTCGTCATACACTATAACAGGTACGGAATTCTTGGCATAATCTACATCAGCAAAATCACCGAGGAACTGAATGACTTCACTGACTGTGAGGGCTCCGGGTTCACAAGTGACGATATTATCCCAAGCTTTGTGGATCGAAGCGAATCCGCTCTACTTCAACTTGTTTGACGTTATAATGTTAATACAGGTATAATATAATGTTATACTGCGTAATAAGGTGGATCACCTGAAGAATCGTCATCCCAGCCTGCTCCGCCTGAAGAATCGTCGCCCCAGCCCACAGTGAATATAGTGTGTATAATTAGGATAACATACAGTAAATATATTCCTTTGTGTTATGCTTCTTTATTGTGATGCATATTACAAAGGGTATTGAACAGCAAGGTTATGTTATCAGGCGCGACAGTATCGCAACAATAACATGTAGACCCGTTTAATGATGTACATTGCACTTTGGAAGTCAGTCTCAAGTACAAATACTTTCCTCCTCTAGCATATACTGTATGTACACATGAATTTTACATGGCACTATTGTTGTTTCATGGCTGTAACTTACAAAACTGGTTCCAGATATCGACAAATTGGTTATTGATACTGTATTCAAGAATGAGCCTAACAGGTGCTTAGATATGACAGGTTGAAAGACAGAACGAGGTGGTCAATGTTACGGGATCGGTGTCGTCGTGATAATGACATTTTGGTGTAGAATATGTTCACTAAAGATGAATCAGGTTAGCCTTTGATGGTTAACTGAGGATAGATTAGGTTAGCTTAATTAAAGGGGATTAGGTTGCATTAGCATAGGTTAAGTAAGGCTATATTAACTTACTTTAGAATAACAAAGATATCTTAGCTGAGAATAGGTTAACTGGATAAATTGGGTTAGCTTAGAACAAGAATTGATAAGCTTAGGATAGGTCAACTAACGTATATACTGTATACGTATACGAGTATACTGTATTAGA